TTGCAAAATGATGACCATAGTAAGTTTTGTCAACATTCATCACCTCATGTATAGTTTTTTTCCTTTGTTGAGAACTTTTAAGATCTACTCTTTCAGCAATTTTCAGATATACAATACAGTATTATTAGCTTCAGTGACCATGTTGTACACAAAATCCCAGAACTTGTTTATCTTAAAACTGGAAGTTTGTGCCTTCTGACTACCTTCACTGCACCCTCCCCATCCTCTTAACAGGATCTTTTTAAGCACTCAATAACTGATTCTAGAATATTCATAGAAGTATAAAATAAAAGATAGCAAATAATAATAAAAAATAAAAATAAAACCAAAGATAGTGAGAGTATTCAAAACCACTCTTCTTAATATTAAAGCCTATTACCAAGCCATCACATTAAATAATGTGATAAGGGCACAAGAACAAGAATACCAACAAAAAGCCCAAATGCAACAGAATAAATAGCACAGAACACACACATGTTCACAGATATATGTTTACTTGTCTAATATTCTACATAGCATACAATAGAGATAGCATAACCAACCAATGAAGAAAGGGTGGAGTTTGAGGAGAAAGTAATGAGAAAACTAGCTTATTATATAGAAAAAATAAAGTTAGATTTCTACCTCATATCATATATAATGGTGAGTTCCAGAGGGAGCCCAATTAGAGACCAACTGCAAAATCAAACTATAAAATTAGTGGAAAAGCTACAGGCAAATATCGTAGTTAATCTTGGAGTGGGAAAAAAAAAACCCTCAAATAAGAGTCCCCTTAAGTAGAAGTCATAAAGATAAATCTTGATATTTCAGTAAATCATTATTAAGGATTTCAGTTCAGTGGAGTATTCAATGGACAAATTTGATAGAGGGATGAAGGAGCAGAAAAAATTACTTTTAATGTTTAGAGAGGACATTACACCCCCCCCCACACACACACAATAGAAAAATGGGCAAAGATAAGAGAAGTCCATTCACTAAAGGAGAAACATAAACAGTTAACCAGTAGATGAAGAGATGACTAAACTCATAGTAGAGAAAGAAATCTAAAGAGAACAAAGCAGCACATTACATTCATTAGCTTGGCAAAAATTATATAGGGATATGGTTCCTCGTCCCTCGGTGAAGCCAGCTGTTCTGAGCAGGGGCCAGAGCCACCCAGATGTTTACCTGGATTTGTAAATGTTGGTTCTTTAGCCCAGATTATGGGAGGTTCAGAATTTCTTTCTGTTGTGGAAGAGAAAAAGTCTTCCTTTGTTGGTGGCACCTTTGTTTTTCTCCAGATTTCCATTTTATTTTTTCTGGCTAGACCATTAATAAATGACTCTTTAGTGTGGATCTGTGACCTGCTTTAAAAAAAAAAAAAGGGGGAGGGACATTTGTTAGCAAGGATGTGGGGAAACAAACAAGACTCTCATGCACAGCTCATAGGAGTAAAACTGGTCTGGTGTTTTGGAGAGAGACTTGGCAGTACTTATGAAAATTAAGCGTGTGACTAGCTTATGGGTTAGCAATCCCTTTTCTGGGTATTTACCCCTAAGAAATCCTTTCTCTGATCCATGTAGGGATATGTGAGAGATTGTTCATGAAATACTTTTTTTGTGTGTTAGTGGAGAGTTGGAGGTGAACTAGGTATTTATTATTAAGAGATTATATGAATATAATAGGGGACATGCCTACAAGGGTATATTCCTGAATTAGAAGCTATACGATTAATGTACATATAATAACACAGATCTTAAGAGCATAGGGTTAAGTGAGAAAAGAGAAGCAGAATGAAATCTATAGCAAAATATTTTATAAATTAAAAAATAACATACAAAGCAATACTATGCATCTTTCAAGTGACATTTATTTGATACATTAAAGAAAAACCAGGATAGGTATGCAGATATCAGAGAAAATAGGAGGAGGTGTGACAGACCATGAAAGTGTTTTGTCTTAAACTGTATGGTGAACTTCACTCTGCACCTGTGAAGAAATGTACATATTCACTCACACAAAGAGAATTTATTCATTGAACAAATACTTACTGAGCACCTGCTGGAAATGAAAGAAATCATCGCACCCAGATATTAGCATATAGAAATAACTGCTCTTGGCATTTTTTTGTATACCAGTGCTTTTTCCCCTATCTCCTTCTTCTATTTCTGAATCTTTGACTAACAAAAATTGAACTTTTTTGCAGAAACACATTTCCCCCTTTGAATGATATTATTCCTAATGCTGCAAAACCTCCTTTTTTGGCCATCCTAAAAATAACCCATTCTCTTGATCATCGTCACCTGGCTTTCTACTTCTTGTGTCAAGACAACATCCTCAAATAGATAACCAAACTTAACTTCACTTTCATTTCTCAATGTAGAATGATTACTTATATCTCCCATCCTTCTCTTATATCTGTTTTCTCAAGGGTAACCAGTGGTTTCCTAATTTTCATCAAGTGGTCTTTTCTCTGCTTAAATAAATAAACTTTATTGGGTATATACTTTGATACATAGTATGACATGAGGTGACAGCACAAGAAGATTCTAGTACAGTCTCTGTGTCCTAGGAGATTCAACACTCCATTTAGAAAGTACATCTGGACATGGATAACTTTACTGCGATGTTCTGATTACAGAGATAAGTTGTGCCCAACTTGCTACCAAAGTTCAAGTGGGAACTTTGAATTCAGAAAGACTTTTTGTAGAAGACTCAGCCTGACTGTTGAAAGATGAACCAGTTAAGTAAAACTAAGGAATCCTAGACAAGTGGTTCTCAAACCTAGCTGCACATTTGAACTTAGAAAATATTAATGTCTAGGTCCCACCCAAGACCAAAAAAAAACATCGCAATATTTGCGGTAGAACTTGGGCATATTTTTCAGAAGTTTCTCTTGTGGGGACACCTGGGTGGCTCAGTCAGTTAAGTGTCTGCCTATGGCAAAGGGCATGATTCCAGGTTCCTGAGATCAAGTCCCATGTTGGGCTCCCTGCTCAGTGGGGACACTGCTTCTCCCTCTCCCCTTGCTCCTCCCCCTCCCCTGCTCATGCTCTCTCGGTCTCACTTTCTCAATAAATAAATTATATATATATATATATATATATATATATATATATATGTATATATATATATATATATATATAAATTTATTTTAAAGAAAAGTTTCTCTTGTGATTTTAAGTGCAGCCAAATCTGAGAACCACAGATCTAGACTGATACAGGAGCAAGAACAAGGCCACAGAGGATTAAATGGTAGCCATGCAGCTAGTAAGTGTCAGAGCTTCTGATTATGGACTGTCTCACTCAAATCTTCTTCTTTTTTTTTTAATTTTTTATTTTTTTGTAAACATATAGTGTATTATTAGCCCCAGGGCTACAGGTCTGTGAATCGCCAGGTTTAAACACATCACAGCACATACCCTCCCCAATGTCCATAACCCCACCAACCTCTCCCGACCCTCCTCCCCCCAGCAACCCTCAGTTTGTTTTGTGAGATTAAGAGTCTCTGATGGTTTGTCTCCCTCCCGATCCCATCTTGTTTCATTTATTCTTTTCCTACCCCCCAAACCCTCCACGTTGCATCTCCACTTCCTCATATCAGGGAGATCATATGACCGTTGTCTTTCTCCGATTGACTTATTTCGCTAAGCATACTACCCTCTAGTTCCATCCTCGTTGTCACAAATGGCAGGATTTCATTTCTTTTGATGGCTGCATAGTATTCCATTGTATATATATCACTTGAATCTTCTTAACCTCTCCTCGTTGCTGCTTCCATAGGGCCCAGGTGATATTAGGATATGTTACATGATGCTGCAGTTAAACAATCTAGTGTTTTAGAACTATAAATTTTGTTTTTGTTTTTGTTGACTTTCAGTGAATGTCATTGGGGGGAGGGGTTCCTGCTTGATGTCGTTCTCACTCATGGACCCAGGATTGTGAAGCTTTCACTATTTAGAGCCAGCTGTTCTGTCAGGGGGAAGGAAAAATAGTGAATTGTATACAAAATTCATATAGACTCCCACCTACAAGTGACCCATGACACTTCTGCCCATAGGCACTGGCCAAATCAAGTCATGTGACCTTATCTAACATGACAAGAGTGGGCATGCTACTCCATGGTAGGCCTGGAAGATAACTGGAATATCTGTAGCAATAACTATCACTAAGCTATATGAAATCAAATTGAACTCAACTGCCCAACACCACCAGTTATATTCATCTGAGTTTCCACAATACAATGGGACCTGGAAATAGTGATTTCTTTATATTTGAGCCAACTAGGATGTCCTCAGAGAAGTTGAATGATGTACATTTTCAGTTTTTACCACTAATTCTTCCACTTTCAATTTCTTAATCCAAGTTTTGGTTTTATCATAAAAGTAAGAGTTGGGTTTCCAAGATTTCAGCACTTTCCATATTATTCAGATGGAAACTCTCTTTTGTCTTTAGAGGGTAAGATCCATGTAACAGTGACTTCTTGAACCAGTCAGAACATGTATCCACCCAGGCACCATTTCTCCTTTTCTATTTATGAGGATGACTTCAAAGGCCAATTGACTCATGCCAGTGTCCAGGAGGAAGCTCTTTGTTTCTACAGCTTATAAATCAAAACAATATCTTCCTAATTTTTTATGATTCCAAAGTACTTGCCCATAAGTGGTCATATTTAATCCTCAAATCAACTTTATTACGAAGAAATTATTTGGTGCTATTTTATGGATGAAGAAATTGAGGCTCAGAGAGGTGAGACAAGGTCTCAGGGAGATTTCTAAAATATTTGCATCTCCTGACAGCTACCCTAGTCTTATTTTTTCCTTCTTTGTTATTAGTTTATCCCTTTAATGAATCAAAATATTCATTCATTCATTCACTCAACAAGAACTAATTATCTGTCAGTTGCCTGGCATGGGGCCAGCTGCAGGGTGTGTGTCCTGGAGGGTGCTCTGTTAAAGAAGATATTATCTGTTGCTCAACATCCTTTCCTTCTCTTAATATCCTTCTTTAATTTTTTTCAGGAAACCAACATATTCCATCTCCTGAACTCAGAGACCCCAGGTCCCTACCCCAACTTCAGCAGATGGACCTTATTTGTATTAGAGTTCTTATTTATTGCCTGTCTACCCCAGCAACTTCTGAGGGACTATACCTCATTCGTAGCACCCATTTCCCAAATTACAAATGGAATGATTCAGTTCTGCACAGGATCTTTCTCCCCATGGACAAGGGTGATCCTAGGGTAGCCAATTACTGATCTGCCAGTGATCTATAGCTTAGGGTCTACCATGGAAAATGAGAACTGGAGGGAGTGGAGTTCTCTTTCAGAAATCTGGAATTTAGAAATAAGAGAATGAGTCAATGGGCTCAGAGAGCTGAGTTGAGTGTCACAGAGAGGATGTGGGGACGGAGAGTATGACAGAGACCATGACCGAGTTGAAATCATGAGCAGCCTGTCAAGGGGAGAGGTTCAGACAGAGGCAGAGATACCCAGCACAAGAGTAGAGCAAGAGCTTGGAGATTCCTGATGGGGTACTGATTCCAGACTATGTGTGCCCATGTCATAAGTCAGCTCTTCCTTCAGGCAATATTAGTGAACCTCTGTTCTTGTCCTCAAAGAAGCTCTAACATACTAGAGAATAACAGCTATATTTTAAGTTAAATTTTAAACATATTCTAATCCCTCTTTCATTGTATGTGTAGTGCAAATGACAATTTTTTTTTACATACATGTTGGGATTATATGTGAACAACACCTAAGCACAGTGCTTAGCACATAGCCACAATTTTGTGACTATTAATTCCTTTCTATTTTACCTAACAAGTAAGGCTACATAGAAGTAGAATGGACTGCTTGGAAGGAAATATGCAGGCAGAAGTGTGACCACATATATCAAGTTTCAGATTGATGGGTAAATTAGTGATCCTTTGTCTTTTTCCCCCAAGATTCCAAGAGTCCATGGTTCTCCATGTATGTGATTGAACGAACTTCTCCAAGTAAACCAGTCTATTTTCTTTGCCTTGTATCAATCCCCACAAGGGAATAGGTTATACCTAAGGCATATGCCTACCCTACTATATGACAGACTGGATCCACATAGACTGAAAAAGGGTTGGTTCCACAGAGGAAGAGATTCAGAGTAGGTAATGAGAAGATATGTCCACTCTAATAGGTCATTCTTGCTTTTGTGTTCTTTTAACTTTCCCTGGGTAATAGCTACTTGAATAATAACTATTTGTTGGGGGTTTACTATTTGCATGACATTCTGCTAAGTGCTTTCCATAGACCATCTCATTTAGTGCTCACAGCAATCCAAGATGTAGGTACTACTATCTCCATTTTATAAAGGGTAATTAAGGATGAAGACATTGAGTAATTTGTTTATAGCCACACAACTGGTATGTGGTCAAGATGGAACCCAGGTAGTGTGATTTCTCACCCCACAGAAAATCACAAAAAATAGAGAAGCTGATGCTGGGGTCATTGAGTGAGAGAAAGCTTGCCAAATAGACTCCCAAGGTTGATAATAAGCAAGAGAGAGTACCCTTCTACCCCTCAGTAAAAGAACTCAGAAAATAGCTCCATTCCCAGGTTGAAGTCATTTCCTGACCTCAGAAATACAGTCATAACCTGCCAAAGCTGGAAGAGATTTAAAGATCTTACAACTAGTTAGTTCTAGGCACATTCTGATGAAAATGCTCTCAGTTATAGACTTCTTTCTTTTATGGGTTTTGCTCTCAAGCTCAGTAATCATTCCAAAAACATGGATTCGTCTTACTCTCAGACAATGCCCACCTTCTGGCTTATCAGGTCCTTCATGATCTGCCCTGGCCTGTGTTCCAGCCTTCTCACTTAGCACTTCCATTTCTTCCCTCCTGATCTGAGATCCAGCCATGGAGAAATTTACACACACAAGCGTGTACACATGCACAGACACTACACACACACACACACACACACACACACACACACACACATCATAATCCTTAGATCACTACACTGTTTCAGTGTTGGTCTACACATAGCCCTGTTTTTCTTTCTTTCTTTTTTTAAAAAAAGATTTTATTTATTTATTTATTTATTTATTTATGCGAGAGAGAGAGAGAGAGAGAGAGAACGAGCGAGCAAGGAAGCATGAGTGGGGGGAAGGGCAGAGGGATAAGCAGACTCCCCACTGAGCCAGGAGCCTGATGTGGGACTCGATCCAAGAACCATGCAATCATGAGCTAATCCAAAGGCAGCTGATTAACGGACTGAGGCACCCAGGTACCCCACACAGCATGGTTTTATTCTGTTTCTTCATTTGGGCGGTGTGTGTGTGTGTGTGAACGTTTAAGTTCTACATTTACCTTTTTTTTAAGAGGGAGAGAGGAAAGGAGAAGGGAAGGAGGGAGAGATAGAGAATCTTAATCAGGCTCCATGCCCAGCACAGGGCTCTCTGTGGGTCTCAATCTCACAACCCTGAGATGGTGACCTGAGCTGAAATTTAGAGTTGGATGCTTAACTGACTGAGCCACCCAGGCGCCTCAGTTCTACATTTATTTTTAAATACTATAATAAAGACCTGTGAAGCTGAAATTCTTTGGTTAGTCTAAAATACCTCACTGTTATCATCACTGAGATTTTACATTCTCTTTACTCTGCCTGAAATTCTTTCCATGACATCCCAACCCCCTCCAATGTCCTTGAGGTCTATATTTAAAAAGTGTCCTTGATTTTCTTCTTCCACCTTCAAGACTGGCTGGGAATCTTCTCTCAACACTCCCATACTATTCTGTCCTTTTCCTATCACAACATGCTATATTGTCTGCTAACTTGCTTGTCTCCCACTAGTAGGCACTAGCCTGTGAGCTTATTGAGGATAAGAATGACTGGTCTAATATTCCCATCTTAGTGTTTAACACAGTGCATGGCACATAGCATGAGCTCAATATATAGTTCAAAGGTTGGTGAACTCTTTCTCTTAAGACCAGATAGTAAGTATCTCTGGCTTTGTGGACCATGCAGTATCTGTTGCATTTACTCAACTCTGCCATTGTAGTGTGAAAGCAGCCATAGATAATATGTAAACATATGGGTTGCATTAAAACTTTATTTACAAAGATGGACGGTGGGCTGGATCTGGTCCATGAGCCACCGTTTGCTGACCTCTGCTATAACTGATGAAGAAATGAATGAATAAAAATGAATGAGTGGGGTTATATTTAACCTCATTTGCCAGAACAGAAGTATTGTTTATCATAAAGAACTCTTTATTTAAAAACCTGGGTTCTATTTCTTTCATATTACTTAACAGTCTTTTATCTTCTATGGCCTCCAATAACCTTATCTTTAAATAGTAATTTATATAATACCTCTTTTGCTTAAAATTTGGAATAGTCAGGTTCTGATGAGTAGGATCTATGCCTTATTCGTCTTTATCCCCAGAGCCTAGCAGAATTCCCACAGGCCTAAAGTATAATAGGTTGACAAGCCACACTGAATGATCGAAAGGTTAGCCTGAAGCAGGTGTTTGGTGAAGCAGTACCTGGGCCAGATAATTGTATAAACTCTTAATATTGGAAAAACTTTAGTCATCAGCTGAATTACCACTATATAGAAGTCCTTCTAGGTTTAAGAACATGGGGCATTTTGATTCCAAATGACTGAAGACTCCATGTAAATTGGCTTATGCTCAAAAGGAAATTTATTGGCACATTGGTGTGTCTTGTTTCAGGGGTTCAAACTTTGTCAAGGACCTAGGATTCTCTATTTCTCCATTTACCTTCTGCCTGATTGGTTCTCTTATCAGGCAGTCTTCACCCATTGGTGACATAATGGATATTTTTGGATTCAGCTCATATCCTCATAGTTGAAAAATCTGTGGAAAGTAGGAGTTGTTCCTGTCTCTCAAAAGTTCCAAGTAAAGTGTCAAGGTTATGTATCCTTGACTTTATTTGGATCAATTGTTCATCCTTGATCCAAACACCATGGCCATGAATGAAATCAATGCTGTCTAAACTGCACTGACTGAGAATGAGGAAGGACTGGCTCTCCAGACAAAAACCTCCATATGCAGAGGAGGAAGGTGGCAAGGACATGAATTACCAATAACTGCTATGGTCCTTTTTCAAGAATAATATGCCTCAATACAGCAATTCAAATTGAGCATCCAATATTAGGATGTTTGTGAATTCCCTAAAGACTGTCCAGGGACCCTTACTTAGGAAGAGAAGATAACCAAGATTGGTCTCAGTCTGTCTTTCCAGTGTGTAACCCCCTCCAGATACTAAATTAACATTTATATTTCTTAAAATAAAAGAATATGTGTATTAAGAAAATCTTTGTTTTAGAATAGTTTTAGGTTTACAGAAAAATGATGAAGATAGAATAGAGAGTTCCCATATACCCTACACCCAGTTTCCCCTACTGTTAACATCTTACACTGTGGAAATGGTGTATATGTAATGATTAATAAACCAATATTAACACATTATTATTAACCAAAGTCCAAAATTTCCTTTGTTTTCACCTACTGGTCTTTTCCCCTTCCAGGAGCCTATCTAGGATGCCACATTACATTTGGTTGTCACATCTCCTTAGGTTTCTCTGGGCTGTTCACATTTTTTCAGACTTTCCTTATTTTATATGAACACAATGGTTTTGAGAAGTATTTGTCAAATAATTTTGTAGAATGTGCCCCAGTTTGGTTGATGTTAAATGTTTTTTCTCATGATTATACTAGAATTGTATTCTTGGGAGGAAGACTTTACCACAGAGGTGAATTGCCATTCACACCACATCTATCAAGGGTGCAAACCATCAACGTGACTTATCTGTTGATGCTGACTTTGATCACATTCCTGAGGTAACATCTGCCAGATTTCTTCACTCTAAAGGTAATCTTTGTTCTCACTGTCTTGGCTGGATGTTTTGGAAGAAAGTCACTGTGTCCAGCCCACACTCAAGGAGTGGGAGTTCTGCTCCACCTTCCCTTTAAGGGTGAAGTCTCTACATAAATTATTTGGAATTCTTTTGAATGGAAGATTTGTCTCTTCTCCCTCACTTATTTATTGATTCAGTCATTAGATCAGTATAG